GGCGACGCTTCCAAGCTGCTCCTGTTCTGTGATTTCGAAGATGCAGACTTGGTTCTGTCATCTAATGCGTCAGGAGACGCTTCCAGGCTACTGTGAGATGCAGATTTAGTGATGCCATCCGATACGGGAGACGTTTTCAAGCTGCTCATAGACTGTGATTTAGGAGATGCAGATTTACTTCTGTCGTGCGACACTTCAGGAGATGCTTCCAGGCTGCTGTGTGATTTAGGAGATGCAGATTTAGTGATGCCATCCGATACGGGAGACGTTTTCAAACTGCTCCTAGACTGTGATTTAGGAGAAGTAGATTTAGGTCTGCCACGCGACAGTTTAGAAGACGTTTCCAAGATGTTACTTGAGTGTGATTTAGGAGATGCAGATTTACTTCTGTCACGCGACACTTCAGGAGACGCTTCTAAGCTGCTCCTAGACTGTGATTTAGGAGATGCAGATTTGGTTCTGTCATCCGACAGCTGAGGGGATACTTCCGCGTTGCACCTGGAGTCTGATTTCAGAGAGGCAGAATTAGTTCTACCATCCCACACGTGAGGGAACGCTTCTAAGCTGCTCCTAGACTGTGATTTAGGAGATGCAGATTTGGTTCTGTCATCCGGCAGGCGAGGGGATACTTCCGAGTTGCACCTAGAGTCTGATTTCAGAGATGCAGACTCCCACACGTGAGAGAACGCTTCTACGCTGCACTTAGACTGTGATTTAGGAGATGCAGATTTAGTTTCTCCATCTGGTACTTGAAGGGACGCTTCCAAGCTGCCCCTAGACAGTGATTTAGGAGATTCAGATTTGGTTCTGCTATCTGATACTTCAGAAGCCACTTCCAGGCTGCCTCTAGACTGCGAGTTAGGAGATGCAGATTTGCTTATGCTATCCGATACGTGAGGAGAAGCTTCAGAATTACTCCTAGACGGTGATTTAAGAGATGCAGATTCAGTTCTGTCATCAGGCAGTTGTGGGAACGCTTTCAAGTTGCTCCTAGACTGTGACTTAGGAGATTCAGATTTGGTTCTATCATCCAGCATTTGAGCAGACGCTTTTAATTTGCTGCTTCGTTTACGTGACATGGAGTGTCCATGCTCTTCACAGTGATTCTTAGATACCTCAAGATCTTCCAGATCTTTTTTCCCAGACGTTTCTGGAGTAGTAAGCGTTTCCTGCCGTGCTGACGTGGTTGAGGAATTGCTTTTAGTCTTTTTTATATCTCCACGCGATGTCGTTATTTTTGAGTTCGCCGAACGAGAAGTGTCAAGCGAGCTTTTTGTATTCAAGTCCAATCTCGATTTCCCACTTGTTGTACGTGAGGAAGACTTAAACTTCGTTAAGCTTCCTTTGGGGTCTTTTAAAGACATAGAGCTGGTAGGAGTTTTAGGAGATGGTGACGTTTGAAGCTTCGATTCACCAGATCGATCGATCGGCCTACTACTTGACTGTTCTCTTTTCTTCCGAGTTTCAGGTGTACCAGAGGAATCTTTTAAGCCCGAAGTACATTGTTTAAAAGCTTTAACTGCAACTGATGAGTCGGACGTTCCACGTCTTGGTCCTTTCTCTTTAGGAGGATGTTCTTTGATCTGACGTGAACTTTTCGTCTTTCTTAATGTTTCGGTACTCTGCATCTGGTGCAACTTTGACGGGTTCCGAATTGCAGTTGGTGATTTGCCCATATGCGATGCGCTCTTAATAGATGATTTTTCTATGTTGTCTTTGGAGCTTGAAGGAGACCGGATAATTTTGCATTCAGTACCAACTATTTCCAGCTCGGCAACAGAATTCTGTGGGGAGCTGTTACAGCTATGATGTAGGTCACGATTGTCCCTTGTGGCATTTGCTGGTGGTTGAATGTGGGATCCGTGTTTCTCAGAGTCTGAAAAGAATAAATTAGTTTAGGATATTTATCCTGCAACGAAATTACTATACATTCTAAGACACGAGTTTCCTTATTATAACGAAAACAGTACTCAATCAATTATTGATTCAACATCTATACACTGATAATGTTCACGTACTTACAATAAAAAAAAATTATATATTATTGATTCAACATCTATACACTAATAATGTTCACGTACTGGCAATAAAAAAAATATTATATTTTAATTGACCATTCCCCCAATGGGGCTTTTCAGGGCCAATGAAACCAAATGGTGAAAACTGAACATGTTATGTTCATTTGCATCACTTCAATTTGAAGAACATACTGTCCTTTGATAGACCGATATTGTCCTACGAAGAACATATCATCCTAGCATAGTTTAAACAACCAAACACGCCCAGCTGTTCAAAGAATTATTATTTGCTTACTTGGTGTTGTAGTAGATGTCTCTGCGGTAGGAGATCGTCTTGGTTTGGCATCTTTGGGTGGATTTGAGAGTTTTTCGGGCAGATACACTTCGGAGTCCAGTATTGAAGCGATTGTATCGTATAAATCTCCTTCTGAGTTTGGAGTCGCCTGTTACAACAAAACAGCTTTGTCAGTAACTTAATCTAAGAAACAAATCGCAATGTACTAAACTGAACGTTTTTGTTACGATGTGCCGATTCACGGGAGCTATTTTTGCCGTTGACTTGATACAGTCGCTACGTTTTGTCCTTGAGGCCTAATCCACAATACAGGAAAATAGGATCCAAACTAAAATAAAGTATATAGATTTATTAGATAGGTCTATCACGTCACACTCCCATAGGGTCAAAGAGTGTCTTATGGTGTCAGTATCAATATCTGATTTCATCATGCTTACATATGCTCTCCCTGTGCTAACAACTCAACCCACGAGGATGTCAAAAGCATACTCGCTGATTCAGTTGCAATCACAAGCAAAGTTCTAAAAGAACACATAAATGATGTCATCATATCTGGTGTGCTTGTAACTTCGAGTGAAATTATACACACAAAAATTTTGCAGAGTTACTACAAGGAAGAGGGATTCTTTCTGTTTTTCCTACCATATCACTGGATCACAACATTACACGTAGCTGCTACGCCTATTTTTCATACAAAGTGTCTCCTCAACCAGTTCCACAATTATGATGGTTTAACACGTCCAATAGTACACACGCTTACAAGTCTCTGAAACCCAGACCCGACAGGCGTAACTTTAATTTCCACATCAATTTTGTCATCAACATGTCGGGACAAAAGTAATGTTCAAAATATTTAATAATTACTTTATACATTGTACTAAGATTTAGTGGAGCATATTTGAGTGCTGGCAGAGTCTGCATCACACGATGTTCACACAGAAAAGTCCTTAATTGTCACACGGCCTTCCTTCACCAGGATTCCAAATAAATGCAAGATAAGCGTTGAAACAAAATTATAAAAGAATACGGTAACCAACGGGCCATGAGAATTTGGCCGAATTAATGAGGTGGCCGTATTACCGAGTTAAGATCAAACCTGGGGTTGGGATGCTGGGTCATGGACCTCTGCAGTCACCTCTGGGGGTTTAGTCGGTTGGTCCTGGATCTCTGCAGTCTCCTCTGGGGATTTAGTTGTTTGGTCATGGACCTCTCCAATTACCTCTGGGGGTTTTGCTGCTTGGTCATGGACCTCTGCAGTCACCTCTGGGGATTGAGGTGTTTCGTAATGGACCTCTCCAGTCACCTCTGGGGGTTTAGTNGAGGAATTGCTTTTAGTCTTTTTTATATCTCCACGCGATGTCGTTATTTTTGAGTTCGCCGAACGAGAAGTGTCAAGCGAGCTTTTTGTATTCAAGTCCAATCTCGATTTCCCACTTGTTGTACGTGAGGAAGACTTAAACTTCGTTAAGCTTCCTTTGGGGTCTTTTAAAGACATAGAGCTGGTAGGAGTTTTAGGAGATGGTGACGTTTGAAGCTTCGATTCACCAGATCGATCGATCGGCCTACTACTTGACTGTTCTCTTTTCTTCCGAGTTTCAGGTGTACCAGAGGAATCTTTTAAGCCCGAAGTACATTGTTTAAAAGCTTTAACTGCAACTGATGAGTCGGACGTTCCACGTCTTGGTCCTTTCTCTTTAGGAGGATGTTCTTTGATCTGACGTGAACTTTTCGTCTTTCTTAATGTTTCGGTACTCTGCATCTGGTGCAACTTTGACGGGTTCCGAATTGCAGTTGGTGATTTGCCCATATGCGATGCGCTCTTAATAGATGATTTTTCTATGTTGTCTTTGGAGCTTGAAGGAGACCGGATAATTTTGCATTCAGTACCAACTATTTCCAGCTCGGCAACAGAATTCTGTGGGGAGCTGTTACAGCTATGATGTAGGTCACGATTGTCCCTTGTGGCATTTGCTGGTGGTTGAATGTGGGATCCGTGTTTCTCAGAGTCTGAAAAGAATAAATTAGTTTAGGATATTTATCCTGCAACGAAATTACTATACATTCTAAGACACGAGTTTCCTTATTATAACGAAAACAGTACTCAATCAATTATTGATTCAACATCTATACACTGATAATGTTCACGTACTTACAATAAAAAAAAATTATATATTATTGATTCAACATCTATACACTAATAATGTTCACGTACTGGCAATAAAAAAAATATTATATTTTAATTGACCATTCCCCCAATGGGGCTTTTCAGGGCCAATGAAACCAAATGGTGAAAACTGAACATGTTATGTTCATTTGCATCACTTCAATTTGAAGAACATACTGTCCTTTGATAGACCGATATTGTCCTACGAAGAACATATCATCCTAGCATAGTTTAAACAACCAAACACGCCCAGCTGTTCAAAGAATTATTATTTGCTTACTTGGTGTTGTAGTAGATGTCTCTGCGGTAGGAGATCGTCTTGGTTTGGCATCTTTGGGTGGATTTGAGAGTTTTTCGGGCAGATACACTTCGGAGTCCAGTATTGAAGCGATTGTATCGTATAAATCTCCTTCTGAGTTTGGAGTCGCCTGTTACAACAAAACAGCTTTGTCAGTAACTTAATCTAAGAAACAAATCGCAATGTACTAAACTGAACGTTTTTGTTACGATGTGCCGATTCACGGGAGCTATTTTTGCCGTTGACTTGATACAGTCGCTACGTTTTGTCCTTGAGGCCTAATCCACAATACAGGAAAATAGGATCCAAACTAAAATAAAGTATATAGATTTATTAGATAGGTCTATCACGTCACACTCCCATAGGGTCAAAGAGTGTCTTATGGTGTCAGTATCAATATCTGATTTCATCATGCTTACATATGCTCTCCCTGTGCTAACAACTCAACCCACGAGGATGTCAAAAGCATACTCGCTGATTCAGTTGCAATCACAAGCAAAGTTCTAAAAGAACACATAAATGATGTCATCATATCTGGTGTGCTTGTAACTTCGAGTGAAATTATACACACAAAAATTTTGCAGAGTTACTACAAGGAAGAGGGATTCTTTCTGTTTTTCCTACCATATCACTGGATCACAACATTACACGTAGCTGCTACGCCTATTTTTCATACAAAGTGTCTCCTCAACCAGTTCCACAATTATGATGGTTTAACACGTCCAATAGTACACACGCTTACAAGTCTCTGAAACCCAGACCCGACAGGCGTAACTTTAATTTCCACATCAATTTTGTCATCAACATGTCGGGACAAAAGTAATGTTCAAAATATTTAATAATTACTTTATACATTGTACTAAGATTTAGTGGAGCATATTTGAGTGCTGGCAGAGTCTGCATCACACGATGTTCACACAGAAAAGTCCTTAATTGTCACACGGCCTTCCTTCACCAGGATTCCAAATAAATGCAAGATAAGCGTTGAAACAAAATTATAAAAGAATACGGTAACCAACGGGCCATGAGAATTTGGCCGAATTAATGAGGTGGCCGTATTACCGAGTTAAGATCAAACCTGGGGTTGGGATGCTGGGTCATGGACCTCTGCAGTCACCTCTGGGGGTTTAGTCGGTTGGTCCTGGATCTCTGCAGTCTCCTCTGGGGATTTAGTTGTTTGGTCATGGACCTCTCCAATTACCTCTGGGGGTTTTGCTGCTTGGTCATGGACCTCTGCAGTCACCTCTGGGGATTGAGGTGTTTCGTAATGGACCTCTCCAGTCACCTCTGGGGGTTTAGTTGTTTGGTTATGGAAATCTGCAGTCACCTCTGGGGGTTGAGATATTTGGTCATGGACCTGTACAGTCACATCTGGGGGTTTAGTTGTTTTGTCATGGACCTCTCCAGTCACCTCTGGGGGTTGAGGTGTTTGGTCATGGACCTCTCCAGTCACCTCTGGGGGTTTAGTTGTTTGGTCATGGACCTCTCCAGTCACCTCTGGGGGTTTAGGTGTTTGGTTATGGACCTCTGCAGGTACCTCTGGGGATTGAGGTATTTCGTAATGGACCTCTGCAGTCACATCTGGGAGTTTAGTCGGTTGGTCCTGGATCTCTGCAGTCACCTCTGGGGGTTTAGTTGGTTGGTCATGAACCTCGGCAGTCACTTCTGGGGGTTGATATGTTTGGTCATGGACCTCTCCAGTCACCTCTGGGGGTTTAGTTGTTTGGTCATGGACCTCTCCAGTCACTTCTGGAGGTTTAGTTGTTTGGTCATGGACCTCTCCAGTCACCTCTGAGGGTTGAGATGTTTGGTCATGGACCTCTCCATTCACCTCTGGGGGTTGAGATATTTGGTTAAGGACCTCTCCAGGCATCTCTGGGGGTTTAGTCGGTTGGTCATGGACCTCTGCAGTCACCTCTGGGGGTTGAGGTGTTTGGTCATGGACCTCTGCAGTCACCTCTGGGGATTTAGTTGTTTGGTCATGGACCTCTGCAGTCACATCTGGGGGTTTAGGTGTTTGGTCATGGACCTCTGCAGTCACCTCTGGGGGTTTAGTAGTTTGGTCATGGACCTCTGCAGCCACCTCTGGGGGTTTAGTTGTTTGGTCATGGACCTCTGCAGTCACCTCTGGGGGGTTAGTTGTTTGGTCATGGACCTCTGTAGGCACCTCTGGGGGTTTAGCTGTTTGGTCATGGACCTCTGCAGTCACCTCTGGTAGTTTAGGTGTTTGGTCATGGACCTCTCCAGACACCTCTGGGGGTTTAGTTGTTTGGTCATTGACCTCTGCAGTCACCTCTGGGGGCTTCGTTGTTTGGTCATGGACCTTTGTAGGCACCTCTGGGGGTTTAGCTGTTTGGTCTTGGGCCTCTGTAGGCAGCTCTGGTAATTTAGTTGTTTGGTCGTGGACCTCTTCAGCCACCATTGGTCTTGGGATGGTCTGGTTGCCAACTTCTTCAGTCACCGTTGGTATTTGCATGGTCCGGTTATCAACCTCTCCTTTAGTCACCTTTGGTGAGCAGGTGGTCAGGTGATGAACCTTTTCAGTCACTGTTGAAGTACACACATCATCGGGTTCTTCAATTATAATTGGTGTGCCTGTGGTGTTAAGAAAATACATTTCTTTGGTCTGTTTGTTTACTTGTTCATCTACCCCATTCATTCATTCATTCATTCATTCAGATATCATGATGTATACCCAAATCAGTCTAGCATAGAGAATACTATAAAATATAGCTCTTGTTAATATTTTTTTGCTCATAAACCTAAAATGTGTAGCTGTGGCAAACATTAAATTTTATGGTAGATCTGATGTATTCTACTAGTCCAATCCTCCATATGATCATCAGGGGAAGGAACTGAAGAAAATGTATTCTAACCTTTTGAGGATGATCTTGCTTTTGGCTGAATCTGAAATTCAATAACAAGCTGATTACTTATAACTACTTATAATAATTATTAGATAGTTGTTATATAATTAGTAATAATTAATCATTAGTAAATAATTTTATACTGTTCTTTATGAATCCAGCAACAGTAAATCGATAATTTCTAAAATATCAATGAATTAATTATGAATAGTTCTAAACAGCAATCAGTTTGAAGAATGGCAATTTGACCTATTCTATGAATCGGAAACAACCAGGCTTGCTTTGTGGTTTTTCTAACAAATTTGTAAAATTTGTTAATTTGTAAATAACTCATCAACATGGCCTGTTTGCAAACTGACGGAGTAGTCAGAGACAATCATGAAACATTTGTTACTGCATGTATAAGCTAATAAATTAAATAAATTTGTTTCAGGCAGGCAGCAGTAATCACGTTTTCAAGCTGTTACATGTAAATAATAGATATTAAGAATAATAAAACAGTATTAAATTATAGTTTTATTAAAAATGATTCTGATTTTCTAATGCTGTTGTTAATATCAATACATAATTTAATGCATTTTTTCCAATAAGCAAACTTACCTTTGTCTTAGTAGATGTTTTTTGTCTGGTGCTCAAGTTTCCTTGAGGTGTTTTTACTTTGTTATTTGTTGATGTCTGGCCTTGGCCTTCTAGAAGACAGGTTCAAGTTTTAACTTCTTAAATATATATAGATCACTCATAGGGATATTTCTTATAGAGCCTTGAATCTATATCTGACAAAAGATAAAAAATTGGCATCCAAATTTGATGGAACTTTTATTCTTACATTAATTTTCTGTTAAGTATGTATAATGTCACATATATCTTCTGGTGTGCCAGTTGCTTTTTACACTTTTAACTTTTCTGCCACCAAGAGTATCAAAGGCAGGGGTTTCATTAAGGGCTGGGCACTGGGCAAATTGACCAGCTGTGAACAGAACTTTGTCCGGCTGCTTCAACAATAATTTATATAGTACTGCTGATTTCCTATGCTATTTCCTTAGGCTGACAGTCTTTTATAAAAATTAAGCTTATTTCAAGTTATGGAAAATACTAGCAAGATTTTGCTGGTTACAGTATGGGTTATCTCTCTTCAAATTGCAATAATGCATTGCCGAGACATGTTGCTGTGTCATGCATGAAAGCTAAATTGAAATGTGTCAAAACTATGTGGCAAATAACTGACAGGGAAAACTCTAGTGGTGTGGTTTGCTAATGGCACATTTGTTCATTCACAGTAATTACAAAAAGGAAAGAACTAAATAAAACTCTTGCGATTATATTTTTGCTAGAAACCTATCGAAGCCGCTAATTATGGAGCACTGAATAGAAAGTTTGTAATAAAATCTTTTAATGTAGTTGGTACAAGATTATGAAAATTGATTTTAATCTGTTGATCAATGGCATCAAAATGTGATTTAGTTCAGTACAAAATGATCTGCTGTAAGAAATTTTAAAAGTAGTGCTGATTTTGTGCTCCAAAATGCAGGAAAATGCATCTCTGCAAGTCTAGGATTTCAAAATTTCTGTGGGAGGATGACCCTGGATCCCCCTAGCTTACATTGTTTCTGCCTGGTTGTCAAATCCTGATGCCCGCCTGCTAAAAAACGTATTAAGACTTTAATCAATTTCTTTTCCTTTTTATATTTCCTTTTTCAAGCTTTAGTGCCAACCAGCTTATTTGTGAACATTAATTATTTCTACTCATCTTCATTTTTTAGATCTTTAATTACCCAAAGTAAATTGACCTAATTTGTTTTAACATATTATGTAAACAAAGTTAAATATAAAGCGTTCGTTTTTCTAAATAGCTATTGATGAATTTCTACAAACTTAATTAAACATACTTAAATATCAAAACACTTGAACTTACTTAACTTGGCCTCATTAGCCTTCCTTCTCAACTCAGCTGATCTGTTGGTCCTTGCTGCTGGGGGAGAAGTGGCTTTGTTCTTCAAGCTCTTTGGCTTAGCTGCACGTTGTTTGCGAACGATACAGTCCGTATCTGAGAAACAGATTAAATTAACCTGGCGGTTAAGGTGAAGTCTATCTATACTTACAGGATTTTTAGAGATTGGAGACTCAAATCATATTGCAAAAACGTAAGTACTGAAAATAATTAGTTTTACTTACCACCCAGGAAAAAAACAGAAAAAATTATTCGAAACACGTTTCGAAACAAAATACGGTTCTCGCAAGAGAAGCTAAGAATTTCGTCTCAAAAATCTGTACCTTTCAGTTATGCTGTATTTTGGTTCAACTCAATAGAGTTGTTGATATTCTTGCTGTAGGATCGACATTTACAAGAATTTTCACTTATCATCACGTCAACTAAAAACATCTCCGCGAAGTTCACAGTTCACGGCATCGAAGAGAGAAGAGTCAAGCCAACGTAAGAAAGTTATGCTAAATAAAATAATTTTTTTCTTACCGCGGCGTTGAGCCTTCGAGCCTCCGCAACCCATGATGGGTTTTAAAGCTTCCGAAAGGAAATTTTTACGAAATAGATCGCAATTGATCCGAATTTACTTTTCACTTCGAAATTCACGACTAGTCGCGAGAAACGAGACGAGTAAACTGCACGTTTCTAAGGCAACCTAAGTTTACGTCGTTTCCATCACGATGTGACATCACGCAGTCTCGCTTTCATTAACAATGAAAAGTCCAAGGTGGACTGGTACGAGTTCCTTTGTTTTGGAAGTCCCACGGACTCCCACGGTGTAACGTGCGTCCCAGCATGTGTGATTTTGTACCAGGTGACTGGGTCGTACAAAGGGTCTATTTGTAGAGACTGTAAAAGTATAGAAGTCATATCGTCGCATTCATTTATTCACTTTGCCCTGAGAATGGTGTCACGATAACGCCGAAACGCCGGCTGTTACGGTTACAGTATACCTTCAGATCGGCAATTTTCTTCAAATTTGGATTTTTGGGTCAAAGTAATGGTCGAAAAGTAATCTCTAATTTCTGAAAACAAAATTGAAAAAAACATAGTATTGGCGGAGAAATGGAGGTTTTACATTATGGGCGGAAGTAAAAGTTCGCTCTTGATTGACAGCCCTATAACGTGTATGCAATCAACCGAGACTACTTTCGCGGGAATATTACCTATATGGATACCACAAATTGGCTGGCTACTCAGTTAATCAGCATTGTTAATCTAAGCATTGTTCGTATTAGGTGTAATTCTATTAAGTTATAAGTAAACATGGACCACGGAAAACTCTGTCTACCAGTTCGAAAAAGCGAAGAACGAATGAAAATACATCTCGGAGTGAAGAAGCGAAAGTTGGCCTCGCGGATGAAGCTATAGTCATCGTATCAAGCGGGCAAAAAGATCAAGTCAAGAGAAGAGAAAGGCTCTGTAAAAATTTGGGAACTTGACAGCGATAACAGCGATGTTTACAGTGACTCTTTTGTTGAGTGCGATACTGATGAAACGTCGAAGTCATTGAGATCCATTGGAATATTATCCATGCGCATTTGCTGCTCCGCGCTTTCTTTTGTTTGTTCTCGTCGCCCAGCCACTCTAGCGTTCGTATCCTTTTTCGTCTTCCCCATTTTGCCAGACCAGCTTCAAGAAAAACCGAAGTACAGAAAAGTCTTGAGCGCATTACGAAACACAAGGGTTTTTAGAGATTCGCGCGTCAGTAGATTTCACGGCGAGTTAATGGTAGTAAATTTTCCAAGCGCTGATTGGCTCAGTGATCTGAGAACCCAGTTGAAGGCGTTTGTGGGCGATGTTTGCGAGGCAAGAGATGTTTCCTGTTTTCTGGAATGAATTTTTTCGCTTGAAGCAGACACTTTAAAGAGTTACAACTCAAAGGGAATTTGTTTGATTGCCCTCAAAATTGGACAGTAGCTAGATTAACATATAAAAGACCAAAACTTGTCTGCGAATTGTTTATTTCGAAATATTTTCTCTCCGAGAACGATTTTTGTACGATTACTTCACATTTTAATAATCCTATTTCGAAAATGTTCTGTAACTTTTTACCGCAATTATGGCAAAACGCAGACACGCTTTTTTAGCGCTTTTTGTCCTGAAACCGGGGAAAAAAATAAATTGGCGAAAAACAAAATTCGCTTTGACTTGTAGCTTCCAAAAGGTGATTAGGACGCTCGCATTTAGTGGCCGTGAAAAAATCGTCAATTCATTTTATTTGAAAATTTTTGGTATAGTTTGATAGCCAGCTCTATAAGCTTTAATTTGATATAGGGGTTTAGGTATCTACAGCTTAAACCGGACGCGCTACATTGCTTGGACGCGAGACACCCCTGAAGGTATACGGTAACCTTAACTTTAATATTCGCTCGCTTATGTTTCAAAAAATCGTTATTGATCAAGAGATTAAAGAATTGATAAGTATTATTATAGAACAGTTTATCAATAATGAACAATTAGAACACTACTTTCCTAATAGTTCATAGTTCATTCACCTCTTGAAGTGCAAAGGGCTTTAAATATACGATACACGCTCGCGCTAGTTATAAAATTTTACAAATGAAGTTTTCAACTTAAAGAAAAATTTGTTTAACCGGGGTTTCTAGGAACGGGGAAGAACAATGCGCAAATAAGTTACCCTCCCAGAATGATAAGCCCATAACTTTGTATCCACAGCTGGCACGGTTTCTATGATACACTTCGCGTATACGAACGCTTCAGAAAATGTTGAGTGATTCTTTTACGACCACCGTACCTGCTTCGATCGCAACTAAAGTTCAACCCCCATCAAACGGCGTGACCTTCAGGGAAATGGATGGTGGGAGGGGTAGATAGTTCTTGGTGTAAGACAAAAACTAGGAATTTCAGTTTTTATTAAGACAGCATCAGTGGCATAACTGTTGTCATGGCAACAGTATTAAGGGTGTCATTTTGTTCCTTTTGTGATGCACATTTGAGCTGC